GGGCTTCTTGGGGTGGGGAACACCCGGGGGACACGCTGGGGACACCTCGGGGACAATCCTGGGGTGGTGTCATTTGTCCTGAACCCAGCGGGGACAGATTTTCAACGGGGACTTTGTGGATCGCGGTTCCTTCTCGGTCGAGGTCATCCTGACTCTCTTCGGCTTCAAGCTGCTCTACCCCGACCATTTCCACCTGCTCCGAGGTAATTCCGTGGCCTGTGGGGTTGTTCCAGGTCTGGAGGGTGTCATGTCCCCACAACAGTCCCCGTTTTCCCCCCTTGTCCCCTGTGGATCGCAATCTGGCAGTCCCCATTGTCGTGTGTGGATCTCAGTCTAGCAGTCCTTGTACTGGGTCAGTTTTTGACTATCTCTACGCCTGTCCCATTGGGATTGGAGACATCCTTGTCCCCTTGGGGTTGGTAACATCTCTGTCCCCTTGGGGTTGGTAACATCTCTGTCCCCTTGGGGTTGGCCCGACACTGTCCCAGGCCCAGCAGTGTCCCCGTGTCCCCGCAGGGAACCACGAGACGGACAACATGAACCAGATCTACGGCTTCGAGGGCGAGGTCAAGGCCAAGTACACGGCGCAGATGTTCGCCCTCTTCAGCGAGGTCTTCGAGTGGCTGCCACTGGCCCAGTGCATCAATGGCAAAGTCCTGGTGAGGACCAGGGGGGACACTGCGGGGGACATTGTCACTTGGGATCATTGTCACTTGGCATCATTGTCTGGCAGCCCGCATTGACCTGATGGATGCCTGTTTGGCAGCCCCACATAATGGAGGGGCTTTGACCTGCCCCTCATCCCTGTCCCCTTGACTTTGGGTTGTCCCTGCCCCATGGAGGGGTCCCTGCCTTCCCCAGGGGCTCCAAGGGTCCCTTGTCACCCCCTCAGTGTCAGGATGGATGCCTGTCCCCTCCTTCCCTTTGTGCCCGCCTTCCCCCTGTCCCCATTGGCCCCACCGTGTCCCCTCACGCCCCCCCTGTGTCCCCCCCAGATCATGCATGGGGGGCTTTTCAGTGAGGACGGCGTCACCCTTGATGACATCCGCAAGATCGAGCGGAACCGGCAGCCCCCGGACTCAGGTGGGAAGGGGACACCCTCCAAGGTGTCCCTGAGGTGTCCCCAGTGTGTCCCCAATGAGGGGCTGAGCTGTGACACCCCCGTGTCCCCCCAGGGCCGATGTGTGACCTGCTCTGGTCTGACCCCCAGCCCCAGGTGAGCTGTGACCCTCACACTGGGGACATCCCCTGCCCTGTCCCCAGGTCCTGGTGCTGTCCCCTTTCGTGTCCCGGGTCCCAGTGCCACCCCCTGCCACGTGGCAGTGCCATCCCCCGCCATGTCCCAGTGTCATTCTTGTCCTGTCCCCAACCTCTCAGTGCCAGCGGTTGTCCCCCCACATCCACTGACTCTTTGTCCTCATGTCCCCAGGGTGTCCCCATGTTCCCTGTTCCCAGAACGGCTGTTCGGTCAGCAAGCAGGGGATCAGTTGATGCCACGGTGTCCCTGTGGTGTCTCCGTGGTGTTCCCGTGGTGTCCCCATGGTGTCCCCATGTCCCCTCCATGTCCTCTGTCCTCAGAACAGCCGGTCGGTCAGCAGGTGGGGGGTCAGCTGATCCCACGGTGTCCCCATGGTGTCCCCATGGTGTCCCCACGATGTCCCCATGGTGTCCCCATGTCCCCAGAACGGCCGGTCGGTCAGCAAGCGGGGGGTCAGCTGTCAGTTCGGCCCCGATGTCACCA